GGTGAAGGACCTGTTTAAAGTATGGATGGACAATATACCTGTCAGAGTTTAATGTATTATACCAGTGATAAAATCTAGACTCATTCTTTTGGGGATCCTAGTTCTGTACTGCTTATCAGACGGAAAGAATGCTTAGTTGTATGCCTTCTTCCATTTTGTTATTAGAACTGATTGAGGGCTCCAGATATTGATGTGAGTAAAATAGAAATATTGACCTGTCTGCTCAGCTTCTAGTCAGAAATATTTGGCAAGCTTTGTCATCAAACTGTGTTGCTAGGGATAAACCTGAACAGAGGGGTGAATTTCTTGTTAGAAATGTTCCTCGGAGAAACTACTATTAAACTTCTATTTCATTCTAATCTCTGTGTGTATGTATGGGGACAAGCAGTGATTCTTATTTGGAGTGGTGTTCACAGTCTGGGCGCCATTCAGAGTTGAATATTGGGGAATATTGCTTTTCCCTCCTTTCTGAGATGGAAGCTTTAGGGGGGAACCTTTTAAGTTTTGAATTTGAAAATCAGATGTATGTATTGACTACTAATATTTCAAGCATGATGAGATATTTTGTCTAATGTAGACCACCTTGTCACCTACTTTTCTCCAGGGCCTGAACCGTACACAGAGATTTGAGTAAGGAACTTGGCCCCCAGTTGTGTAATTTCCACTCCATTTGCAAAAACATACTTGACAGAATAAAACGTAACAGGCTTTCCAGGGCAGGACAGCCAGCATTTGCATTCGCAGCTTGTATCCAGTGTTGCATTGCATGTTATTTCAAACATAATTACCCTCTATTAAATCAGAACAGGCCTGGGTCCTGTTAAAAAATTAAATTGGTGCAGCTGATTAGAGTTTCAGATAATCAGAAATGCTCTTTGCTGCTTCTTATCACAGTGAATTGTTTTCACGCACACCTTCGGTGCCTTTTATGTTTTTCAAACACGATTTTTGGCAGAAGAAAAGGAGTCGGTTTGTCATTTAGAAAATGTCAAGTTTGATCCTAGGTGACCAGCACATTGTTGTATGCTGAAGATGGGCTGTGAGGAATCAGATAAATTTCTTAATATCGGGAAGGAGGACTTTAGAATCCACTGTAATCCTAACAAAGACCTCCCCTCATTACTTTTCTCCATGGGGAAGTGAGTGTTATTGCAGCTTTGCAAGAATTACAGTGATCCATACCTTTTTGCTGTAAGCTGGCAGCGGGGATGGTGTACATAAGTCGGGCTGCGCGCTGCACGGTTTGTTCTTTTCACAGGGTTTTTATCCTATTCAAAGCTTTAGCGATAACCTTTATGATAACACAAGGAATCATAAAAGAATGGTAAGAGTTACTGAGCTAATATAGTACAACGCAGGAAACAAGTGTGTGCTCACATCGGGCTCTCAACGGAGCTATTCTCAGCACCAAAAGAAAATATTTGTTGCCTTTGAAGTCCAATTTATAGCAACAATTAAGAGTTTAAAACTAAGTATGTACTGTACAGGTACACTTATCTAAACTGTGCTTGTTCTAGCATAGGCAGTTTATTTCTACAGGATGTTAAAGAACAAGCAGTACCTTTCTTAAGAGTCACTCACCCTAAACTCTAGCTGGTATATGCATGTAGAAAACACCAGCAAGCTGTTTATGACTTGTTCTCAGTTATTCAATATATGAGCAGAGAACAGATGGATTTAACAGTTAGATCCATGCAGTTTTCTGGCTTGAGCCTCAATGTTTTATTTCTCAGGCTTCAAAATGAAGTGTCTGTGTTTTCCCTTACAGCTTACACTGTAAACTGTGAGACTGTTTTTCATCTGACAACCACAGTCTCATCAGGTCAAGTTGGAAAAGGTCAGCAGGAGCTGATGATTGGCATAAACTCAAGTGGTTTTCAGATCAAAAGCTGTGGTCTAACCATACAGTTTTGGTAGAGTACAACAGACGCCTGTTGTTAGAAGGTTTTGTCACATTAATGAGAAGTGCTTCTGCCAACATTCTTTGGTGGGATATTATACTCCAGTAAAGAGCAAAAGGCCTTATACTGCTGTACTCAGAAATCTGTGTCATAAAAGCTCTTTTTTGCAGGAGCTCAGATCATTCTAGTAAACTGTGCCTCTGTCGTAGGTTAAGTCAGAAGATCCCTTGAAGACTAGCTTATTTATTTTCAGTTTTTAATGTGATTGTTATTTTGTTCTTCAATATCAGGGCCAGCTTTTAATATTCACCAGACTATAGCATTTCCATTAGGCCTAAATAAAATGAATAATGGTAAAAAGATATGTTCTAGTAAATGTCTGTGGGCTGCTCAGTTTTAAAGAACACAGAGAAGGGGATGTAAACAACAATACTTGGTCACAAATGTGCTTGAACTATGAACATTTTTCTGTTTTAATGAGCCTCACCTTTAAAAAAAACAACTGTATTAGTCATGTTGTACCTCACTATGAGACTTTGACATATTTCCTACTGAATGTCCTATGTGAGCAAAATAAATAATGTATATCAGCATCATAAAAAAGCACAATGCAAGTTTCCACGGGTATTTCTTATTACCTTGTATTATTATAAATTATTATATAATTATTATAAAGGTAATTTGTTATTACCTTATATGTTTATGTTTATATTACCTTACATTTGGTCATCTTGAGACTTTCAGTGGATTATAATCACATTTTTTTTCTTAGTAACTAATGTCCCCAAACATGCTTAAAACAAATGCTGTGTTTTACTCTTAGTAAATCAGTCTAATTTAAAATGTGCTCCCAATAAAATAACCAGTTTATGTGATGAAATATTTTTTTTGTATGCAAAATCCAGTGACAAATTTTGATGTAATACATTTTCACATTAATGTATTTTTTTCCATGTACATAACCTGGATATTAACAAAGATCAATAATTCTGCCATAGAATTCTGGCAGATTATTTAATGCCATTTAGCCAATTGTATTTTCTCATATATCTTTGTAATAAGTAGAAAAAATATCTACTGTATATGCTATTAGTTCCAAGCCAGTATCTTTCCCATTCGTAAGCCATAGTGCATAACTTAAAAATCTCTGCACATTGTTGATATGATGTTAGAACGTTGTACCATACAGAATGAATGAATGTCAGTGAAGGTTGAACTAGCAATCAAATTATTACAGATTTCTGAGTGAGCGCTAATGGTCGGAGGTAATGTGATTCCTATACTCTTGTCGACAAGAGGTTCTTTCTAGTACAGCTGGAGGACGATAATGCTTTAATTCTGTTGAAACTGATTAAGTCAGTTGCTTACTGAAGTTTTTTTTGCATGAAGAACTTCTTCTGACTAAAAAATAAGAAGGATGTTGGTAAAATGTTAACCATTTAGCATGTTTACTTGTTTCAATGTTTTTCTTAGCCATGTAATTTCAGGTTGCATAGATGAGATAGTAACATGATATTCAGTTTTTTTAGTTTTTAAGCAGTACACCTGTATGAGTGTCATACAATTACCGATGGAAATATATTTCCAAAGGAAGGAAATAGATTTGTAGAGCAAGGCTCCAGTGAAACCAGGGTGGTGGTGGTGGGGGATATGAAGTTTTACTGAAGTTTGTTTTTTAAACGTTTTCTTTGTTTTGCCTCTCTCTCTGGTGTAGATTTCGTTTTCGCAGTTTGTGACCTAGAGGTTGACATCAGCTGTTAACTAATGCACATTCTCTCTAAAGAAAAGTTGCTGTATCTCAAAGTGAAGTTTACTAAGGTCATTCTTTGGAAACATTTGGAAACATGTCTTTCTCATATTAAATGTGTTAAGCAAAGTAAAACATTTTCTCTCTATTATTTATTCGTGTTCTTTGAAGAAATATTTATCTTTTACCTTCTTGAAAGGTCATGAATGGTTTGGGCTTTTTGCTGGACTTATTTTTTTGTGGTGATAGATAGTAGTTAACTTCAAAGAAAGGCACACTTGACAATGCATTGAGCCTCTGGCTGTATAATATCCTGGGGGCATTTAAAAAAAACTAATATACTAAAAGAGCAGAGTATCAGGCAGTGACCTTCAGGATTGCTAAAAATGGAATTACAGGGTACATTCTAATGTCAACACTTACAGTGTACAGTACATAGATGGATTTCAGATTTATATGCACTGACATACCATGGACTGCATAGTGCTTCTCGCGGTAGATTTGGTACATGCTTTGGAAACTAAAGAGGAACTTAAACATTGGTTTACATTATGAGAGCAAAGAAAGAAAATGTAATACCTATGGGAAAATAACCATTACCGGATACGAAAAAAAAAAAGGATTTACCCCATAATTTATTTGCCCCTTGAGAATTTATTAGCATTAGTTAATGGTGCAATCTATATAACTGTCAGGAGAGAGAGGTTGCTAAAATGAAACAATGTTGAAAATGGTAATAAAATAAAAGCCTGATGTAACTGAATTAGAGATTTCACTAAAAGCATGAGGAAGAGAAAAGGTTGCTTTTTGGATGCAGAAAAACAAGTCGGGGATGAAATGTACAGTTTCTTTAGAGCAGCAGAGTAGAACTAGCAAGATTATAGTTTGTGGCGGTGACTTGTTTTAAACCTTTCAGAATGTCCCCCCAGAATGTTTCTGATAATGAAATGTAAGATTATATATTACACAGTAAACCATAACAGTTTATTTTACAGAAAGCTTTTTGTCTTCAAGTCATTGATTTCATAAGGAGTTGCATAAAAGTAGTTGCCCAGTTAAATTACTCACCTTCTCATAAGTCTTGCCTACAAATTACGGAGCTGTTAGCACCCTGATGACTTGGGTGAGCTGCAGTGCATTCAACAAATGTTCCTGCTTTGACAGTCATTATTCGTTGCGATATTCCTATACAGGTTGCATGTAGTCTCATCTCTTTCTCTCATTTTGCTCCTCACAGGTGACAGATAAATCAGTAAAAGCATTTGCTGAGCACTGTCCGGAGCTGCAATTTGTCGGGTTTATGGGCTGCTCGGTTACATCCCAAGGGGTCATTCACCTTACCAGAGTAAGTACCAGCTTGGAAATGGCTGTCATTTGCACCTGTAATAACTGTCAGAGCTGTCTCTTCAGACATCTGTACACTAATTGGGAAGTGGAAAACTGGACCGAAGCTAACATCTTTCTAGAGTGAGAAGTCATTCTACCATTTCAGCCTGTGTTGTTTACCCGTTATAAGTGGACCTGTTGTAAAAATCTGTGTGATGAGTTGTATACTGTTACTGTTTTAAATGTAGTCTGATTGATACTGTCACCACCTGTTTATTTTTAGATGGTTTCAGAATTCTGTTTTTTACTCTTTCTCTGTTTTAGCATTCACTTTACGATAAAAAAACACTTGCAAGTGAACCTTTTGAAAATCTAAAAAAAACACATTCTCATTATGTATGAAAATGTTTATTTATTTATTGTTACAATATAGAGTTATGAACAGAAGCCTAAAAAAACCTGATTGGATTGTGGGGTTAATCATTACAGCCTGGATGAAAATGATCCTAAGGTTAACATGAATGCTTATTTTTAATTCTGTATCCTCCACATCATAATTTCAGTGTGAACTCTTAGTCCTCTTGTGCCTGCAGAAATGCATTACTACTAAAATGATCTATTGAAAATGTAATATAATATTGAAAAAGAGAGTAAATTGTCCCTGGAAACTTATTAATCGATCATTTTTTATATCACATTGCATCTTTTTATGGGGTGAGTCATCTTAGTGCTAGGTTAAGGACTCTGAGGATCATTAGCACAATGTGTCTGTGAATATATTGGAAGTTAAAAACTTAATTTTCCAGTACATTTTAAGTCTTAGAAGAAAAATACATAAAAACGTCAGAATGATTTTGAACTAGTGCAGGCCATTTGACCTTCCAGCTAGTCTGGTAGTTAGTAGTTTGTTGTCCCAGGATCTCATCCAATTCTTTCTTGAAGGCGGCAAGCGTATCTGCTTCAACGACATGACTGAGTAGCTTGTTCCACACCCACAATGTTTTGTGTGAAGACCTGCCTCCTATTCTTAGTTTTAAATGTTTACTGCGTTGTACACTTCTTTATTCAAGACTGAAAAAGTTCAGTTCTTTCAGCTTGTCAGTGTAGGACTTAATTTTTTAAGTTCTGGAATGAACCAATTTCTTTTCTCTAGGTAACAGTGCAGCAATATCTTCCTGTGACCAAAACTGTATACAGTACACCAGTACCACTTGTTCACAAATGTTCTTTTTATGGAATTGGATACTACAAAGCATGGGAATGCTTACCCACATTTGAACAAACGAAAGCCAAGTTTGAAACTGTGAAGAAGCAATATGAAAAAATGCAATACCTCTGCCAAATGTAAAGAGTGAAGAGGAAAGCGTCATACGACTCTTTTCATGTTGAGTGTACGGCTCACATTACACTAAGTGGTATGGTTGAGAGCCAGCACATACGGAGTGGCACGAGAGACGTGTGAAACAGTTTAAGACGTACCATTGTGTAATACGTCTTGCTTCGTGCATTGTGCGCTCTTACTTTCCGTTTAGGAAATTTTTTTTTAGACTTTTGTGGACCCTAAAGGTGTTAAGAAAATTGACATTTTGAGTGCATTTTTGTAATTACATAAAAAGCTAATTAAGTGATTACTGTACTGTACTTATAATACTGTATGATTAATGATGTCTAGGTTGGTAAGCAGTGTTTTTTATTACTACAAAACACAAACCACAGTATGAATGTTCGTTATTATTGTTTCTTTTGTTATTTTTGGGTGAAAAAAACAAAACTAGGTGGTTTGCATGATTGCATGTGCACAGTTTGGGAACAAATGTCACATTGTTCACTTTAAAATTTAGCAGGCTAACGTAAATCCCAGAAAAACAGATGGTTCTTAGATTAAGATCTGAACAAAAAAGTTGTAGGAGCTTTTTAAAAGTGAGCGACGGAGTGTCCCAGAGTTAAGGTGCGCCATTTTAAAGCTAATTTCTCAGGCCCTTATGAGTAAGGGATGTGCATATTGACCATGAATTAGAAGATCTTGCACAGCCCATAGAAACACATGCAGTCAGCTGACCAGAGAATTAATGAGAGATAATGTTGCAGTGATATTAACAGATCAAGAGAAGAACTTTGAACGCAGTTTGAAACTTAACAGCAGTAAATGCGAAGCATACTGAATGCTTCCTTTTTTTATCTGTTCTTAAGAAGCAAAAAAGATAGGAATTGAGGTTGAAACCTATTCAATATGATCAAATGAATATGTAAGACAGAGACATGAGCTTTATTAAACAGGTACAGAAAACACTGTATATTTTAGATATGGCATAATGTGTTGCCGAGTAGATGGCATTGTCATTGTGGTGTTTCTCCAGCCTATTGGAGTCTCAGTTATGATGGAACAAATGAAGGTAGTTTTATAGCCTTCATACCAGGACGTTGTACATACTGCAGCCAGTTTGAGTAGGTTTCAGTAACTGTGTCAGCATGTGTAGGCAGCAAAGGAACAGGTTAAGGTTTATTCCATGCCGAAAGGAGAAGAAATGAAACAAAACTTTTCGGCTGTGGAGCATTCCTCAGGTGTGTGAAGAAGGGTACCAGAGATGAAAAGTTATGTTTCATTTCTTTTCCTTTCAGCATGGAATAAACCTTTACCTGTTCCCATACTGCAGTCAGGCCTCCTCATGACACTTCTTCAACTTAAGTGCTCGCGTACCCCAAAGAGACCTCATTAGATCCTCAGGACTTGATCCCAACAGATGGGTAATGGCTGCAGCCAATTTGGAAAATCCTGTTCCAGTCCAGTTTCATGCATCTTTTCGTGCACCTTCTTTTATATTGTCAGTTAGAGATAGTTTATTGTTTATTTCATGTTTATGACTCAAGGACTTAATCTGTAGACCATCTTTTTTATTTGACTTGCTCAATACCGGGAGGTATTAAAAACATGGCAGTATGTTATAAATAGTATCACAGTATATTTTCAAGACATTCATTTTATACCACTAAGGCACTTAGAAGACATAAATGTGTAAGTTGTGATCTTATTGTAGTAAATTTAATGTTATTAGCTGCTTTTTTCATACAACTTTAGATTCTATATTCAACTTTAGAATATATTCAGGTGAATTATGCAGATTTTGTTGCCTCGCTGTCTGCTTCATGGATACTTTGAAAACTCTGCAGAGCCAGGGATATGACCTGGACTGGACACCAGCCCATCGCAGGTCACACACACAGACACAAACATGCACATTACTTCTTGTGTGTGATCTTGAGTGCAGTATGAATGTAAAACAAATATTTTTTCCGAGTATATTTCTGTAAAAACAGTTATGTTTCTGTATTACAAATACATACGACCATACAAGCTAGCGTTCTGAAGGGATGTACTCGTCTGAATCAGTAAAGTGACCCTGTCACTGTAGTACCTGACACAGCTTAGTTATCATATCCTTAAGCACTGTTGGAATGTGATCTCAGTTTCACGTCTTAAGCTCTCTGGTGTCCATCAGTGACTTTCTTTGGGTTTGGGAACTATTTTTCCTTCTTGTTTGGTGTGTTCTTGAGATTTAATGCCACCTTTGAAAGGGGTGAGTGGTGGCATTTTTGCTGGAAGCCAAGGGTCAGTTGACAGACCCTTATGATTTATTGGATGTTTTAGTAGCTGACTAACATGGAAACATTATTCCATGTTCTCACTGGACATTTATAAAATACCTAGCCTTCATTTCATTTTTATTGCTGTATATCGTTACTTTAGTTTACTTTCATGAACAAGAATTTATGTAAAACGCAAATAATGAAAAAGTAGACTGTGGGCCACACCACTATTAATAAAAATTGACTCTCACATATTGGAACCCAGAGGGGCTTTGGAAATGATTGGTTGGCATAGATATGCATTTATTATAATAATAGCATAGCCTACCCTGACTGAAATTCTTCTGTCATTTGGAAGTTATTATTTAAAGGTTAGTGAGCTTTTTCAAGCAACTTTAGGTTAGGTTAAGCCAAAAATCTTTCTGCTTGTCCTGGTATATCTGTCTCAACTGTATCTTTTTGTATTCCTGTGCTCCCCATGTTATTTTTAACCTTGTCATATCTGGAATAGTTTAATCTAAATGCTGTTTTAGAAAGATTCCTTTCTTAATTATTTATCCACTGTTGTTGCCAAGTGCTTCAGAATCATATAGGTCTAATATGGAGGGCTGAGGCGAGGGTAGTTCTGCCTTTTAAATTCATTGTATAAGCATAGTTTTCTCAGAAAAGGCAGAAAACCAATTGTGGAATATGGAATTGTTAGAAATAATCTTTACTAACCAGGATTTGTTTTTGAGAATTATGTTGTGCTTCCTGTAGTTCTTTTCAGAATTTATTGAACTGGATATGTATACATTCTTACTAGAAATGTCAGTGGATAAGCCATCTGATTTAATTATATGTGAGTATTATTTAAATATATATTTATTCCACCTGTCAAACGGAGCAGGTCCAGCTGTTTGAAGTTGCTGCTAAATCCCTAACGAAATAATAAATAATAAGTGGGTTGTGCCTGAAGTGTTGCAGGTTAGAGTGCAAGGTCTGCTTTGACTAGTTTGATTTTCTAAGAGGTTCATCTCGTCTTTCTCTTTTGATTATACATTGTCCACTTAATGCACAAGTGTAGCTAGGGCTGTTTCCTGGGTTGTCAATTTTGCTGAAGTGTTACTTGATCAGAGTATACGACTTTTGAATGACAAAGGGACTTTTGTTTATTTTGGGTAGGTACCTACGAGCTTTGTGAAGGTATGAAAGAGTTTTATATATTATCCGTTTAATCGTAATCCAATATAAAAATGCCCAGGGGTCTATGAATCTGTATTGTTTATAAAAAAACATTCCAAGTAGACAGCAATAGGAGTAAAGTATGCTACAGACCAGCAAATTGAGATGAATTTTAAAGCTGTCTTATACGATGAAATCGGGGATGCATGTGTAAAGGAAGAAATGTTTGCTTTTAAGGAGATTTTAAATTTCCTGACAAAGATTAGGGAA